TTTGAGTTGCTAATGATAGAACAGCTACATAAATGATTACACTTTGCTACCCTTCCTAGATGGCAGCAAAAATCTGAGTTCGTTAGGATAATTTTTACCATTGCAGTATACACTCAGTACTGCAATGGTTTCGTGTCTGTACACTAGTTTCATGTCTGCACAGGGCTCTCTCCACGTACTCTAGGTTCCCCCCAGAGTCCAAAGACACAACTCTTTTATTTATTTAAAGAGTTTATTATTAATTTTTTTATTATTAAGAGTTTATTAATTCTAATTAATTGGCCTTAGGTTTGAATCATCTCTTCCTCTGTGTTAGCCATCTGTGATTTTTAGATCTCAGAAATTGTCGGCTGTCATTCAGGGCAATTTTCAGTGTTTTGTTTTATAAAGAGGCTTCACAATAACTGTGAAGCATTTCATGCCTGACTGATAAAAACTGTAACTCAAATTAAAGCACCATGTGAAATGTGTGTGTTCCGGCACTGCTTTTATTAGCACCAGCATACTAAACCCACCTTCAGCTAATCACGCAGTCACACACATGCACACTCATGTGCTACACTATAAAAAGAAACACACAAACCATAAGGGATTGTTACACCTGCAGGGTAACAGTTGGTTCAAGAAAGGTACATCAACAAGTCATAAGACCAGTAGATGAGGAAATTTCTTTTTGTGTTATGTGCTGAAACCATTCCTGCAAATAGGTTTAAAAGAGAATTTTCCAGTGCAGCATTGCTGGTAAGTGTCCTTGGAGCTGAAACCTCCCAGAAAGTAAAATTCAGCTTTGCGGAATGAAAGAAAGAAAATGTTCCGCTTTTTATTTTATTTAGGCCTTATGTCAGGCTTCTGCATGACATGGTAAGGTCATGGTGATCTGTGCACACAAGACGAACATTTTCAATTTCTCCTTTATCTATGCTGTTTTCGTTTAGAAGAAGGAATAAAAAAAACTTTTTGAAAATCGCTGAATTTCTCCTGCCGATGACTCCCTCAGTCACCTTGTTGTTATGCTGGTCATCACTGAAATCAATAGATAAGAGCAGAAAGCTGTGTTTGTTTGCTGAAAGGCTTCCGTGCAGCTAGGTTACAGCAATTTTTGAAACGCTGTTAGAGGCAGATCAGAGACAGGAAAGGTGCTGGAGATGAAAAAACTCATTACTAGAGGCAGGAAGGAGCAAATTGGTGTGACAAAAACAAAAATAATTCCACATTTGCAGGATATTAAATGCTATGCGTGCTTGGTTTGTGTTTCTTTCAATGTCATTATTCTCTAACACCCTCAGACATACTCAGTGATGTTTTTCATTTAAACCCTAATCAGACTTTCAGTGCACTCCATATACTTCCAATGCTGTGTTATCTTTTTTCCGCTCATATTTCTTTTTTTAACTGTGGCAGGATATGAGAAATTTGATGTATAGTTTCATCCTCCTTCGCTGTGTTGAAAATGTGACTCGCTGACACGTTTCTTCGACCTTAGTATCTTTCTCTGAGTACTCAATACCACGTGCTGTTGTAACTCAGTTGAAGTTTGAGGTTTTAAAAGAGAACGATAAAGAAAATATATCTATGTAGTGGTTGAAAAAACATCATAAACTGTGAGCGGATCAGCTGAAATATGAATTTTTGCCTTTGTAAGTGAAATTATGTCAGTATGCAAATATTGAGTTACAGGCAGCAGGTGTTTAATTTAGCATGGCATTAAAACAACAAACAAAAAGCCTGATTTGTGGTATTAGGGGAAGTCATGTTTATGATTTATGAATTTTTTGCTGGTAAACCTTCATTATTATTTTCCAGCTATGCTAATGTAAATATTGGCTTACTTTTACTCTTCTTTTTTTGTGCCAGTTAGGCTGCGCCCACACATACACGGTCATTTTTGCCTGTAGTTTGCGTGAAAGACACCAACTCGTTTGCTAACACTTGATGCCGACTGGAAATGGAGACCTTTGAGACCTTCAAAGTAAAAGCTGGGCCTTTTTAAACATGTTTGCTCCATGTTCACTTAGTGAACTTTATGTTTATACAGAAATGAGTGTGGGTTCAGATTTTTTATCTACCTCTTGGAAAAAAGGAGCCTGGTTCTGAATGCTGTTGGGTACCTCCTCCTGTCATGTCCAATATTGTTGGGTCATTACCTTGGAATTAATTTTTAAGCTAGTGCGATGTGCATGCCAAGCACCTCGTCTAACGCGTCTCTTAATCTGTCTCTGCAGGAATTTCTACTACATCACTATGCTACGTGACCCTGTGTCACGCTACCTCAGTGAGTGGAAGCACGTGCAGCGTGGGGCTACCTGGAAAACTGCCCTCCACATGTGTGATGGTCGCCCTCCCACTCAGGATGAGCTTCCTGCCTGTTACAGCGGTGAAGACTGGACAGGGGTGCCCCTTCCTGACTTCATGAACTGCCCTTCGAACCTTGCTAACAACCGGCAAGTCCGCATGCTGGCAGACCTGAGCCTGGTGGGATGCTACAACATGTCGTCCATGAGCGAGCTGGAGAGAGGCCGCGTGCTGCTCGCAAGCGCCAAGTCCAACCTACGCAACATGGCCTTCTTTGGCCTGACGGAGTTTCAGCGCAAGACGCAGTATCTGTTTGAACGGACGTTTGGCCTGCGTTTCATCCGGCCCTTCACGCAGATCAACAGCACGCGAGCTGCTAGCGTGGGAATCAGCGAGAAGGTGCGGTGGCGCATCGAAGGGCTCAACGCCCTCGACATGGAGCTTTACGAGTATGCCAAGGAGCTGTTCCTGCGGCGCTACCAGTATAACCGCCAGAGGCAACACCAGGAGGAGCGGCTCAGGAGACGGCAGGAGAGGCAGCAGAGACAGCGGCTGCACAGGACCTATTTGGCTGAACTCTGGAGACTGGGAATAGGAGGAGGAGGAGCAGAGGAGGTGGAAGAGGAGGAGGTGGAGATGAAGGTGCTAGAGGAGGTAGCCACCACAGAGGACTATGGCAGCCAGGTCGTGCGGTGGTGAGGAGAACACGGGAACTGCAAACACTTCATCGGTGACTGACGGCTGGTTGATTCATTGTGCTTTACTCCCCTCCCTCTGTCTTCCTCCATCTCGCCTCTGCTGTGAATCTGCCAAAACCTCCTGCCCTCCCAGCCTCATAGCGCTTTGTCAGACTGCCGAATGGTGTCTTAATATTTATGATGGATGTATTTCTCATGGCGACATTTTGTATTTACATTTTTTTCTTATGGCTATTTTTGGCACTGCGGTTGCAAAATTGATTGATTGATTTATTAGCAAGTGCTCTGAGTGTTCTCAAAGCAGCAAAAATGTTTCTTAAACCATCGTTAGAAAAACTAAGTGAAAAACAAGTGTTCATTAAGGAGGCCCATTTTAGTAAATTTCAAACTGGTGACTGCCTTGTGGTGAAGGATCCTCAGTGTCATGTGTGTGATCTTGCGCTGTGTTGAACAGTGAAATCTTGTAGTTAATCTGTGGTGTTTGGCTTCGTAGGAATATCAAAGCACAAACCTGGCAATAGTCTGCAGTGTGTTTTCTTCTTTCCGACTGATTAAGCTGCAATATAAGAGAAACAGTCGAAGCAATTTCTCGCAGGAAATGTGTTCAATAAAAATATGCAGCAGCCAGTGATGTTAATTTGTACCTGATGGACTCTCTGTTATGCATGTGTACATGCAAGTGTTCTTGCCTTGCTCCTTTTTTTCACAGCATGTTCTCACCATAAAAATCTGAAATCTTCCCTCGGTGTGCCGACTTCTTCCACCACCATGCACGCACAGATACAGTGACGCACACTGATGAAGCTTTTTCTCAAGGAGAGGAGGAGAGCTGTTGGCCTGACAGACAGGCTGTCAGAGCCAATTTCAGAACTCTTACATCACAGAGACAGAACATTGGTATTTCCACCATTAGGCCATTGATTATGGGGCTCTTTGCTTCCAGATTGATCATTTAAAGTTCAATTGACCATGACTCCGGCTTAGCACAAAGTAACAAAAATCCAGCAGCTTGCTGAACACATTTTCCTCCCTAATTTGACAAACATGTTGCTCTGCTGAAGTTCCATTTACACTGCAGTAGCCAACATAGCAAAATTGGTATGGCCCGGATCTGGCCCACACAATTTGCTTACACATGGCCACATACCGCAAAGAATGACGGCCCTTTGGTGGCCCAGATCTGGCTTTGCCAGATGTGGCCCACACATGGGCCAGCACAAGGCCATTTGCAGACACGCTGGTGGTCCTGTGCTGGCCCATGTGTGGATTACCTCTGGCAAAGCCAGATCTGGGATACCAAAGGGCCGTCATTCTTTGTGGTATGTGGGCAATATGTAAGTTGTGTGCAGCCACGGGTCAGTTGCAGACACAATGCTGACCCTGTGCTGGCCCAGAACAGTTTCAGCTCTGACCCCAGATGTCAGCCTAATGTGTAACTTAATCAAGCCATGTAATAACAACATGTGCCGGAACATAATAGTGCAAAAGTAACATGACGAAACTCTGTTCAGACAGTGAATGGACTGATTCTTAGATAACGCTTTTCTACTCTCCCATATTACTCAAAGTGCTCTATACAACATGCCACATTCACCCAATCACACACTTTCTCTAAACTGAGTGCTTCCTAAATACATTCATACACATTCACACTCTTGACATGCAGACTGGAGGAGCCAGGGGTCTAACCACTAACCCTCCGATCAGTAGGTGACCTGAGCTACAGCCACCCACTGGCAAAGATGAGTAAACCGTCACTAGGTTTTGGGTAAAGTGTACCCTCACAAACCTGTCAAACCTGCATTTGAAATGTTGGCTACCATAGCAGTATAGTATTGCAACATGGCATTTGGGTTTTCTAACTAAAATAGGAACATAAATAGTGCCATCATTGCCAGACCTGGCCCACATCTGGTTGACTTACACCCCGCCATGACATCAGTCAGTCAGAGGTGCCAGCTTGATGCCGGTTGCAGGGAAGACCTGTTTTCTATGAGCCTGGGCCACATAACCCAAACCACAATCAAGACAGATATGGCATGCCATGACATAGACAGCGCCATCTATGCCAGGCCTGGTCCATATCTGGATGACATACGTCTTATCGTTCCAGAAGTCAGCAAGCAGTGCCAGGTTGATCCTAGATCTGGGCCAGACCTGTCTACTATGTGGGAGACTGCTCCATGCAGGTGTTTTGTCTATGAGAAGGCAAATGAGGATGAGGAGAAGATCAGTCAGGAGGCAGAAAAGGAAATGCCATAGACAAAAATAGCCTCTTTATTCCCAGCTGTAGCTTCAATTCTACTTGCACAGCTTGTATGAGAGCAAAACAAAACAAAAAACATGTTAGTGATGCAGGATTTTTTTCCCCCTCGTACAAAACCAGAGGACTGATGGCTTCCTTAACATTTGCAACAAATAATATCACGAATTTTAGGCTTTCTTTGTAAATGTAATCTCAGATATAAATCAGGAAAGGGAACAACAGCAGAACAATACACTGTATCCAGGAAGAAGCAGCAATAGACAAATGATATAAAAGCTTCTGTTGAGGATGTCTTTGGGTTGACAGTATGACTTTGTTCCAGGACTTCTGGGTGATTGTTTGTGTGTTCTCACAAATTTTGTGCTTTGGTTTGACTTAGTAATATCGGCCTCTTTGAAGGTCCCAAGTCCTTGGCTCTTGCTCTTAGAGCATCTAGGCTTGAGAAATGAGAAAATTGCGCAGCCTGTCTTGCTAGCACATGGGAAAGGTGAACGCATCTGCACAGAGAACTCTGAAAGACTCTGGGATATGTGAGCACTTAGCACAGATCATGACTGGAGGAGGTGTTGTCGGGCTATATAATCGTTTTATAGCACTGTTGGGGAAATGCAACAAAGCAGGATGACTAATGCAGTGTTTTTAGGGCCAGCAATTAAAACGTTTCTGACCATTTCCAATGTGACGCAAAGAGAAACCTCAAAGAAAAAAGTGCTAGAGGTAGAGGGTGGAGGTGAATTAAAACGAGTCAATTTGCTGATTCTAAATTATATTTGATGACTCCTGTTAGAAAAAGTTCACACACTGAATACATTTATTTATTTTGGTTATTGTTTTTAATTTAAATGTTGCTTATCTTGTCAAAAAGCATTATTGCTCACACTATTCATACTGAGACCTTCAACAGCCACATCAAGCACTGTACATGAAATTTATATTTCCTGTTACTTTCACCAGATTTGGATATAAAGATTGCTGTCTTTTAATGTGCTTTAAATAACAAAGTAGCATGTTGTGAAGCAGGTTTAACAAAATGGTAATCCATCCAACTTTAAATAAGTTCGTTCCTTTATCAAATTTAGTCAAATGAGCCAAAGCCTTTGGTGCTTATGGGGAAAAAATCTGATTCAGCATTCCAGTAGAGGTGTAACTCAATAAAATGAAATATGCTTAATGCAATATGATACGTTTGACAGCATAATATTTTAAGATTATTTAACCAGACAATGATAGGCTAAAATGACTCAGCTAGCTACAACTCCTTTTTGAATTTTAGCGTGTTGTTATAGTAGATGTTTTAAAATGTATAAAATAGCTGTAACAGCAATAATGCCTGTAAAAGTTTCACATATCTATCTATCATGTTGCCCATCAATTTTTGATATACTCTGAAACTTTAAGGTGAGATCTAGCAGTTCTCTATATTCAGGCAGCACTGTGGCATCTCTTTGGGGAGAGCAAAGCGTCTCCTAGTATCTCAATGTTCTGTCCTAGAAGCTGCCCTCATTGTATCTTGTGGCTTCATTTTTCAACCTGATTGCTCATAGGGGGTTGTCTTACTAGCTGAAAGAATCTGAATAAAATTAGCATGTCAGAGGCTCAGGCATTCTGTTAGGAAATCTGAATCACAAACAAAAGAGTTTAGAAATACAAACTCTCTTCCAAGGTCCATAGCTACACAGTAAATATTTTTGGGGCTTCAAACAAAGGAATCCATTGTAAGTCAGGTAAATATGCTCAGGGGACTTCCAGTTAGAGAAAGAAAAACTGTAGACAAAGGTCTTAACTATTGAGTCATTAATACATTGAGTCCTTATTATTTTCACTTCTGGGTTGCTGCACAGTTTCCCAAGACGAACCTACGGTAAAGACGACACAATGAGTGCATATTATTACAGCATGCCTACAGTAGGAGTCACAGAGCTACTGAAGAAAGAAAGTTAGGTGTTGTCAGTCATGTAGCAGACTTGTCCCTGCTTGCCTTGCTAATGACGGCCAGGTGGACCAGTGACCTTGTTTTGGTCATGCAGCGTTCCCAGTGGAAAGCGTTGAGAAAGGCCCTCCTAAATGTATCACCTGAAAGAGTGTAGAGCACCAGGTTGAAAAAGGTGTTAAATCCAGCCAGAGGCCGGGAGATGATATACGCTGCATGCACGATGTTCTCTGCCGGACAAGTCGCGTTATGATATCTTGATTCTATCCGCAACACACGCAGGACGTGATATGGCATAAAACATACAACAAACACCACCAGGATCAGTACAGTCACACGCCGTGCTCGCATCCGACAGAGACTTGTTGTGCGTGGTCCGTTTGCCAGCTGTTTTACTATCCCAGTGTAACACATAAACACCACCACAAGGGGAAGTAGAAATCCAAACGCAGTAAGTAGCCAGCCGTACAACCGCACAGTAGCGACGGGTTCAGTACTTGCAAAGTCTATGCACTTCTTGTTATCATTCACTGATATCATGCTCAACATGGGTGTTATTTCAGCGGCAGAGATGATCCAAACAGCTGAGCAGGCAATTATACCCCAGCGCTTCTGCTGTACCTGTGCTGCACTCAGTGGTTTAATCACCACTACATAACGAAAAACTGCCAGACATGTTAGAAAGAGGATGCTCCCATAAAGGTTCAAATGAAACCCAACGCGCACGACACGGCACATGAATCCGCAGAGAGACCACTTATCCCATCTGCTGTAGTAGTAGACCAGGAACGGCAGGCTGAGGACGTAGAGAAGATCGGTCACCGCCAGGTTGACCAAGATGATGCTGCTGCTCTTCCAGGGACGCAGCTTTGTCAAGTAAATGCTGATAGATGTTACATTTCCAACCAAGCCCACAATGAAGATGAGACTATAAGCCACAGGCAGGTAGTAGTGTTTTATCAGTTCATCCAAATCAGTACAGTTGGAATTGTTGGAATGGTTGATGGCCATAGTTCAGTCCTATTGAAAATGAGAAATGATTTTAATAACCACACTGAAAACTAAAAAAACCCCTGCAAAATAGAATGTCCCCTGCATTTATGAAAATGTAACTGAAGTACTTTAAAAGGAATTGGGGAGACACAATGTAGCAAAATTAGCAGTCCTATAAATTAATTAATTTTTAATTATTCAAAATTATTAATATTACAAGAAGGGCTGGTTAGAGTTTTCAAACAGACTTCAAATATTCACATTTAATGTTAGTGATGTTTTTGGTATAGCTGCTATTTTTGATCACTAAAATTTGGAAATCACACCGTGAGAAACATGGGAATGAACACAACATGAGTAGTGCAGGCCTTAACATAAAAAACAAACAGAAATATTAATATATTAAATATAATTGGCACGCATTGAACAAATGCCTTTTCTTTAACAACACCTCTATTCTTGTGTACTGTATTCATGACATATATGTTTTCTGAGCAATACAATAGGCAACATGCAAATCATTTCATTTCCCCCCAGCTGTCAGATCACAGCAAGCAGCAATTACTGCTCATGGAAGGAAGGCGAGAGCAGGACAAGCAAAGAAACAAACAATCAGGGAAACTCGGTGGGAAAGAAGCAAGAAAAATCATTCTTTTTCAACAGTCTGATTTCTGAAAGCCTCTCAGTATATGACAGTGCCTATGGCATCCTGTAATGCTGTCAGTGTGATCTGTTCTCATTATGGATGTCAGGGGATGTGTGAGGTGTCACTTACACATCATAAACACTTGGTTTTCATGAGGCAGGAACTTGCACTCATTAAAATGATTACATTTTGCAAAAAACTACAAACTGTAAATTATTATTTCAGTGTTACATCTCAGCATAAAGGTAACATTCGATTATATAAAAGGTTTTTTACTCACTTCTACTGCCAGTATCCTCACCAGTATGCACTTCAGTCCTTTAGCATCTCGTCTCTATTTTCACTTAGATCCCACAGTCACACCCTCTTTTATTCTTTCCTTTCACTGTTACACACCACAAGTGGGAAAGTCCAGAATATTTTTACTTGAAGTCCTGTGTTGTGTGCTTCAGCTTCAGCTATGTGAAGTGCATACTTCCTGGTATCACGCTTAAGCTGATAAAGCTCAAGGGTCAATTTGTCTATGTAGCTTAGGTTTCAGGTGGTGAGGTGAGGGAATGGAATGTCGGGGATCTAGCAACACAGGAAACAGTCCAGTGTTCGTTTACAAGAATGAACTCAAGCCTTTCTAATGAGGTCTTTATTATTTCTTGAAACGAGCATGTGAATACCTCAGCATGGCACTACCGAGCTAAATTTAGCACATGGTTTCTGATTAAAGGAACAAGAAGGTTTAGAAGCAGGGAATGAACACTTAATTATAATAGTGTGTTACCATTTTACTTTAACGACCGTAAGTTTCAATCAAAAGTGTCACACTAAAACTTATATGTTGTGAACTGTGCTTCAGTTGTGCACATCTGTAATCAACAAACTGCTGCTCACAGTAAAATGCAGCATTTTCTAGAAGTCAGATATCAGTAACTAGTAATATAATTAGTTCTGTCCAGCAAATGTAATGTCCAGCAAAAAACGAATATTATATTTTACAGTGGTTCTGAGACTATTTTACTTTTCTAACATGTGTTTTTATTTTTTTGACTACTTGGCTTCATGTGTTCCTTCTTCCTGATGTTGCTACCACTACTTACCTGAGGATAAAAACAGGAGAAAGGAGCAGCAAAGTGTGAATAAGGACAATTTCCAAAAGCGCAACGGCTGAGTTTTCTGCACTTCTATCCTGAGGCAATTAAAGCATTTTGTTCCTAGTCATCTCAAAGAGCTCACAAGTGCTGCTAGAAATAGACAAGATTTAAAACTAAGTGCATTTGACCTATGCAGCTTCTTCTCTGCCTCACGACAGGACCTGGACACGTTCCATCTGTCCATCCATCCATTTTTTTCCACTTATAAAATTGATGGACTCTACTTCACTAGAAAATCCTGAAGGAGAATGTCTGGCCTTCAATTCATACCCAGAAGCTCAATCACACTTGTGTTATGCAGTAGTAAGACAACCTCTGAATGGCTCAAAAAAGGAACTAAATTTAAGCGTTCAGAGTGGCCTAGTCAAATTCAGGGCTCAAATCCATTTAAGGTACTTTGGCATGATCTTAAATAGGCTTATAATGCATGAAAACCCTCCAATGTGGTTGAATTAAAACAATTGTGGATAAAGGAATGGGCCAAAATTCCTCTACAGCAACGTGAAAGACTCATTGGCAGTCATTACAAATACTTGGGTGCAGTTTTCGTTGCTAAAGGTAGTACCAAACCAGCAATTACTTTTTCACATATGATTAGGTAGGTCTGGCTACCTGTTTTCTTTTTAATGAATAAAATGTCTATTTAAAAACTGCATTTTGCATTTACTCAGGTTGTGTGTGTGATCTCAAACATGTAAGTCTGAAAAACAAGCAAAAATTTAAAAAAGGAGAGAAATCAGGTAGTGGGAGGGGGGTACTTTTTCATAGCGTTGTAGTTCGGTACTTATAAATAGGTTGCTTGTCTTTGTTAATGATTCACTTCAAGCATTAATGATTGCAGCCGCCTTAACACATCTTCCCACCTCATGTAGTCATCAGCTACAGACCACACTGAAATATTGATTTAAACCTTGTGCAATTTCCTCTTCCTTTTGTGTCAGTCTTTATAATGTAAACATAAAAACATGCACGCTGTTATTTTTCAGTGTGAATATATTTCACTCATTGTCGGGGTAAGCTGCAAAAATACACCTACAATTCTCACATTATGTTTGACTGCTGCTATCGCTAGAGCATGCAGTGTTGACCGCAGTCATGCTTAAGATTTGTCCTGTGTTTAAAGGTTATTACGCTGAGTGTCAAGTCTACACCTGACATTACCTCAAAGCATAACACATCTGCATCTACAAATATATGTCTTTTTTCCCTTGGCTACCCTGGACATGCTGATGTTCTCTGTAATGTCCCTCACGCACGCACTTAAAAGCAGTAAAAGAAGCTGAAGTTTACAAATGTTTATTTTACAAAAGGGAAGCTAGAAAAGTGAATAGAAATCACTCTAAATTGTGATTCCTATTCACTGTCGGGATGGCGCAGTCCAGAAGCAAGTGTTTTATTGTAGAGATAAAAATCATCTTAGTTCAGAAAAAAATTAATGTCAAAGATCAACTCGACGCACAGAAATCGGAGTAGAGAGGATTAGGAGGCCAGGGGGTAGCTCGCCTAAGGAGGAGAGGGTGACAGAAGGTGTTGATGGTGGGGATGTGTAAGAAAAAGAAACTGCTTCTGTCTACAGTTTAGGCATCTTTGCAGCATTGAGGCGCATAGAAACACAGGAGGATCCAGCAGCATAGCGCATCTCCCTCAGCATGCCGCTCCACTGCTTCTTGTCTTCCTCATACCTAACAAGAGCGAGAATTGGGTCATTTTCCCCAAACGAGCAAAGTAGCAATATAAAAAATAAAAGCCTGTAAATCTGGGTCCCTCAACTTAATAAGACTTACTGCCAGACATCAGTGACCTCTGTGGGAGTCACCTCCTTGTTCTCCATCTGAACCATAGCAAAGCCACCCACAGCGTAAAGCGAGCCACCATTGCTTACTAGGTTGACAGAGCTTCTCTCCTGAGGAAACTCTGTGAAGGGCTCCCACCTGAGGAGACACAACATTAGGGGAAGGTAGGAAATAAGTCTAAGCTATCCCTGTTGTTGTAGTTTGTACTGCAGTCATTTTTTCCAGTTTCAGTATTTCTCTTTTCTTTTGGCAGATACCGGTAACTGAACTGTAGTTTATCAAAGCCAAATGAGTGCAACATTTTTTTTTAAACGAAAAAATTCTGTTAGTTATAAACAAGTAAATTAACCAGTCCTGTAACTTAAATGTATTTATATTTTGCACTTAATTGCAGAAATTTTAATGTCAGAGTTTAAACTAGCTAGCTTAAATACTGTTAATCTGAGCCAATAGGCTCCAGTTAGTTATAGCAACTACATCGCTAAAGCAAATCTAAATCAACCTGATAGAGGTTCCTGCTGCAAATAAATAAACCACACTAAGATAAATCTATAAATGTTGTATTAGTATTGAGGCTCCTTTTAATCCTATCCAGATACTGCACTAGCTAGGGCAGATAAATCGCACTGAGAAGCCAGCTAGCTAAAATTATTAGAGAAAGGTTTGACTCAATGAGCATGAAGAACCAGTGAGCGCTGTGATCGTTCTAACCATCTTGGGGGATGTGGGATGATTTTAAATGTGACATGTAATAAAACATCCTGTTCTACCACATCCCAAAGGTGCTCTACTGGCAAGGCTGGACTGGTCATCTGGCATTTTGGGCCAATGGATTGAAAGGCCGCTGTCGTGCAAGCACTGATGGGGGCCCATTGGTTCATTTTTATTACTGACACTGTATTGCCCAATTAAATCTCTTAAATGCGATCAGCCCCTCCCCTCCCCTCTCCTCCCTTCTCTATTCACTGGTGCAACTTGTGGAAGAAGTTTAGTGTAGAAGAAGTGAGTAAAAGGTGGAGCTGAAAAGCTAAGAGAAAATAATAAAAAGAAACTTAAAAATAGATGCAGCAAAATGGGTCAAATTAACAACATATTTGTTGTTGGCGCTGCTGCACTGTGAACAGCAACTAGTAACTAGACCTCACAGTTACAGGAGGCTGCTGCTGAACCAGCTGTGTAGAAGTGAGTAAGAGATGGAGGAAGATGAAACTCACATGATAAGAAGATAGATGGAGGGACATAATTAGGAATGGAGCAAATGGCTACTTTCATCATGAGCCACTGCTTATATCTAAAATGTAGCAACTAAGAAATAGCCCAAAAACAACTGTACCTGATGAGAACCTGTTTCAATATCTATAATCAAACAAAAACATAAAAAATGCATAATATGTGTATGCCTGACAGATATACATATTCTTTTTTTTTTTTTTTTTTTTTTTTTTGCCTGTCCCGTTTGGCTCTTTTGCCATCAGAATTGTTGTCTAAAGGCAAAGAAAGATGCCCAACGGATTTACTTTACCAAATTGACCATCCCAGCCTTGCCGATAATGGTCCATTTGATTCACCTTTTATTGTTTATTTTATTTTCACTTACTGAATAGGGACAGACTTACTGGGGGAAAGAAGGGGAGAAAGAAAGAGGGAAAGAGAAACAGCTGAGAAGAGGGACGGGGGAGAAGGGCAAAAACCAAAAACCAACAGAATGAGCAGAAAAAGAAAAAAAAAATGCATATATCAGTCACCTGGGTCACCTGCTGAGAAAGAAAAAAGAAAACAAGCAGAAGAGAACAAGAGTAATAGAATAAACAACATCACAATGATATATGGGAATATGACAGTAAATACTAAATATTAAACATTATTGTGCAGCACATAAGATCAACAGAACACAGTGTGCTTTGAGGTAGGAGCCAAAAAGGGTGTAGTTTGTGGGTGTGATCACCCGTGTGTACACCTGTGAGCATGGACGCGCTTGTTTTTTTTAAAAAGGTTCCTTCATGTAATGATCTGCTAGAGGGTGTGGGGGGGCCACAGCCCCGTCCTCCAGGGCATGAAGCAGGTATGGAGGAGATCAAAACTCCAGACATCCAGAGGCCCCCAGAACACAAGAGACCAAGGAAGACCAACAGAGGGGCAGCCGCGCCACTGTCCCAGAAAGAGCTGAGGAGAGTCCCAGATGAGGGCTCACTCAGCAGCCGCGGAGCAGAAGCCAGGGGGAGTTGCAGTGACGCGCCCGTGAGCTCCGCCGGCAGCCAGCCGTGCCTGAGTGACCGAGCCCCAGGCCGAGAGGCCGGGGGCACCCCACCTCCGAAGTGGCCCGAGCAGCCCCAGGCTCCAGGCCCCGATAAGCGGCCGCCAAGGAGTGAGCCGGTGTGTACCTGGACGCCCATCCCCGGACACAAAGAACCACCAACGCACCGATGTCTGAGGGAGTCCGCCACTGGCAGGGGAAGTGGTGGTAGGGGGAGATAGGCCTCCAAACCTTGGAGGGCCTGAAGATGTCCCCAGAGAGGTGGCGCCTGACACCCAACCTGACATATAGACACAGACATACAGGCACACACAGATACAAACATCCATTCCCACCCTCATGCTCTCATATACACTTACTCCACACTCAACCAACGTGGAGACAGACATAAAGAGACACTGTACACATGATCACACTCCCCTCCTCTGCACCCTGGTGACATACCCCTACTCCAAGATATACATATTCTTAAAAAAATAAGAAGAAGAAGAAGAAAATGATGGTTGGCCGCCTGGACCAAAAATGCCAGGGCTGATTTGTTTGTCCCAGTCCAGCCCTGTCCACTGGAGTAAGACCTTGTGACTGGTGACTTGAGCAGTCTGTCTATCTCTGACCTCTAACATGAACAAGAGGGCTGCTGCTTACTGGATACTTTTTCAGAACATTCCCGGGAAACCCTAGAGATGATAGTGTGGGAAAACTTCAGTAGAAAATTTCAGTCGTTTCTAAAACCCTTAGACCATGACTTGCTCCCTTAAATGACCCTTCTTACCCGTTCCGATGCTCAGTTTGAACTTGAGCAGACTTCCTTGACCAGGCCTACATGATGCACTGAGTTGCTGCCATGCAATTGGCTCATTAGATATATGCATTAACAAAATGCTGAATAGGTGTACCTAATAAAGTGACCAGTGAGTGTTCTCATTTAAAAGGAAAGTTGCAAACATATTCATACTTGTTCGTTGCAAAGTCATAGGCTTCACACGAGGCAGTGAGGCCTTCCTCGTTGACTCCACCAACCACTATGATCTTGCCATTGTGGACAACTGCTCCAAACATGGCTCTGGGTGTCTTCATGGCAGCCTGCTCCCTCCACTCTGACTGTTTGTGGTTATACACAAACATCTTGTTAAGGGCTTTGCTGTGAAGATGAAGGAAAGATGTGGGACTTTCAGCATCAAAAGCTGTCAAACCTTTTTGTTCATTTTTGGTGTTGATTTGGTGATGTCTCCTACACAAATAGATGCAATTAATGGGTGCTTTAAGCATCTTTTTTGTACAAATACGAAGCTCTAAAATGAAAATGATGATAATTTAAATCAATTGCTTTTAAATAAGGAAAGATACATGTTTGTTTACCGACAAAGAAATTTAATCTTAAAGCCAATGTTTAAATGATTGATTATAAAAATGTATCCTCATGTCTTCATTATTTTTTTTTTTTTTACTAATTGGACTAATGGACTCACAGTGTGTTTCAACATGAAGCCTTCATTAAAAAAAATATCATGATTTCTCTATTTGAAAGGGCACAGCCTCTAAACACCAATCAACAGGAACACATTTGAAGAAAGAAAAGCTTCACGTGGATAAAGAGCAGAACAGGAGTGAGTAAATGGACTAAAAAAAGATCTACAAGAAAAGAAAAGAGAAATGACACAAAAAGCAGTTAGTAAACGTAATCTATATAACAAACAAAGGTGTCCTGAGAAGGAGCGCTTAAAGACATAGGGACAAAATTAGTAAAGGTTCACAAACCTTTACTAATTGCAGTCAATGTTAGGTTGACATTCATTGTTACTTAATCCAAAGACTGAAAGTCTGAACAGTGATTCCATTTTCCTCCTAATTAAACATTTGCTGTGTCCGTTTTGGAAACAGTTAAATGTTGTTAAATGGGCAAACGGAGCAGCTAGACCAAAAAGTATTCTTATGTGGTTACAAAACTAACCGATCTTTTTTTAAAGATCTGAATTTAAAGTTTAAAGTTGTAACTTAAAACTGTAACTTTAGTTACGACAACCTGTTGGGTGTAGAGAAAAGTGCTGGAGTGAATGGGCTAATGTAGTATGCTGTAGAAAAGTGCTATTTACCCTT